CTCGTCATGGAACTTAAAGGAGCTAGTTCAGGCGGTATAGTTAGAACGAGTTGTTGATTGATATTCTTATTTATCTTGAAGTTGTTTACGTTTGGAAAATTGTGTTTTTCAGAATTAAGTTTTTTCTTCTTCTGGTTCTTTTATTGAAATTAATAACAATGATATTGTTACGACAGCGGAAGTCACGTGACGCTGCTGGCGCGTTCTTGCTGGTGGGTGTGCTGATAAGTTTTTCCAATGATCGGAGAAGTCCGCGTGTGTTCGAGATGCCCTCTTTATTAATATATAAACCTGGCAGGGAAAGAAAGGATAAATAAATAAAGAGAGAGCAGTAGTTACTTTGAGTTCCGAGCTAGTGAGCCGTAAAGTGTGTGTTTTGCACTTGTCGAGAGCGAAGTTATCGAGATTGTGAATCACTGTGATATAAAAGTTGTTAAGTTTAAAGTAACGAGAAACATATTGATTGTTTATTAAAAGTTTGTATCGAAGAAGAATCGCTGTGATTTATAGCATGTATCATAAAAGTCGTTAAGTTTAAAGTGACCAGAAACGTACTGACTGTGGAAATTCTCTGTACTAAAAGTTGTATCAAGGAAGAATGAATTGGTTTAATCAAGAAAGGACTTGTATTGCTGAAGATCCTCGGAAAGAATTTCTACCGGAAACAAACAAACAAGCAGATATGTAACAATATTTATGTTGTTTATTAATGTTTGTATCAAGTCTTGACCAGGCATGGTTTACTATCTTTTTTTTTATTTTGTATAAGTGATGAAATGTTTATACCAGCTGTTTGAAAGTTATATTTTAGATTTCTGTTGTGGTTATAGTTTAGTAAATTTTTTTGTTCAATCGTGTTTGTAGGAGCATGATATTTTAATCCGTTACAAATGACTATCAAATATTTTTTGTCTTGTGTTCTGTTGTTAATTAGAAATGTATATTGTGCTAAAACTTTTATCAATGATAGAAACCGTCTTTTTTGTTATAAATTCTTTGTTCAGAAACTGGAAGAAGTTGAATGTACATCACGCATTTGAATAAACGCACACATTCTGTTTTATAATGAAATTAAACTGACTTTGAACTTTTAAGTTCTAGATTTTCCGAGCAAGAGGAGCTAGTCATTTAAAAGTGCAATTTACAATATAGCAACAGCACAATCACTTGAATTGATACCAGTTGTCCTTCCATGAACCAGTGTCTGCTGTGTTATTGTTTAGTACTTCTCTGTTATTTAATATTACTGAAATCACACTATGCAACTTTGAAACTTTTTTACTGAGGAAAAAAAAAGACATTTATGAATGTCATAATTGTGAAATACAGATGGCACAAAATACACTGTCTCAAACATATTAAAATATACACTAACAGGCCATTCTCTTAGAACCCAACCATTTTAACAAAGAACATTACATAAACTGTCATATGGCATTTGACAAACTATCTGTAAAACACTCATCCCTCACGTAAGTATGAAAGCACACTACTTTAGAAGTGTTAGAGTGGTACTTTTGGACAGTGAGCAACTAGAAATGTGTGATGTGGTATGATGAACTGCATTTTACTCTTCCTGTACAATGTAAAAATAAAAATATTGATAAATCAACATATAGCACTGATCCCTGCTTGTACTGTTCTGATAGTGTAAGCTGTTGGAGGTGTTATAATAGTTTGGGAACATTCTTGTGGCAGGAGTTAGTTAATTTGGTTTATTTATATAAGAATGGATAAAATCTAGTGTACCTAAAGATAAATAGTAATTATGATGCTGAGGATCAAATTATCTTGTCTTTAATGCAACAACCAACCATGTTTTCATTGTCTGAATTTGATTTGATGAGTATGAGAGTGCTATTAAGTCATCTTTTTTGGCTAGTGCAATCATCTGACTTCTGATTTAGCAGATCTGGGATAAATCTGAATGTTGCATTTGCCACCATAATGCTGTGCCAACGTTTGAAACAATTGCAGATCACACGTTTCAATGAGTGGGCAACAATCAAACAAAACACCATCCGGGATCTTATGATGTTTTATCTTATGCCAAGTCCATTCTATTATCATCACCATTAAAAGATATGCAACCCAATATTGTTTGAGAGGTGCTAACAATGATCAGATAATATATATCCAAAAATATTTGTAAGAATTCTTAAAACCCTTTTCTTTAAACAGTTGTTGTATAAAATATATTGCTGATAAATCATTATGTAGAAAATGAAGAAAATAAGCAAAAGTGCTTTCATCTATAGAAACAATATTTATTTCAGAAGTCAAACATATCTTGGTCATTATACAATTTGTCAGGTATTACACACACATACACGATAGTCGTTCATAATAGGGATTGCCCAGGAATTTAATAGAAATTCTAATAGAACACACGGGAAAAACTATCTTAAATAGCAGACTTGTTTTTGAAACAACTCAAGACCTTACAAATTTGTTGACATTCTTTGAAAAGGTTACTCCTTATGTAGATGGGAGTAAGGGTGTAGATTTAGTGTATGTGGATTTTCAGAAAGCATTTGACAATGTGCCTCATAAAAGGCTTGTTAAAAATTAACTCTATAGGTTGGCTAATTGAACAGAAGAGTGGCTGGATGGAAGAAAGCAGAGGGTTGTTACAAATGGAGTTCAGTCAAACTGGAATAATGTCGCAAGTTTCTCAGGGTTCAGTCCCAGGACCTTTGCTGTTTTTGATTTACATCACTGACATAGATGAAGGAATGGTCAATAAATTTAAATTTGCTGATGATATTAATGTCTTTGGTATTGCTAGTTATGAGGAGGAGGATGCTGTTTTATAAAATAATATAGATCATTTAATGAGTACGGTGAATAAATGGCAGATGGGTTTTAATTATAATCAGTATACAAAATATTACACGTGGGCTATCATAATTTGAATGATAAGTGTAATTTGGATGGGGATAACCTTAACAGGGTTATGAAAGAAAGCGATCTTGGTATAATAGTTGCTCACTCTCTTAAGCGAATCCAAGCAGTGTGCTGTTCCTAGTGGTAAGGCAAATAGGATTTTAGGTTGTATTTACAGCAATATTGAATACGTGTCTAAAGATGTTATAATTTCATTGTACATGTCACTGGTTAGGCCACATTTGGAATATTGTGTTCAGGGGCTCCCTACCTTAGGAAGGTCATTGAATTGTTAAAAAGGGTTACTAGAATGGTGCCTGGCTTAGAGGGTTTGTCATATGAGGAAAGATTAAGATCTTTGAAATTGTTTTCTAATCTGATTGACGTGTTTAATATTCTAAAGGGAATTGATAGTGTTGATACATAATCTTTTTTCATACTTAATGGCAAGAATAGTAGTAGAACTAGGGGACACAAATATAAATTTTGGCAAGGTAGGAGTCATCTTCAGCTAAGATTGTTTTATTTTTCTAACAGGGTGGTTTGCCTCTTGAAAGGGTTGTCTTCAGATGTTGTGGAGGTAGTAAATTTAAGTGAGTTTAAGAGAAAGCTTGATAACTACATGAATGATAAAGGCTGGCTTTAAGATTATTTTTTAATATTTAGTTAGAAGATGGGACAGCCGAGATGGATCAATAGTTCCCTTGTTGTCCCTAAAATTATGTCATGTTATAATATTGTTAATAGCAAAAAAGTTGATTTTCCGATTGTTAAGCCAAATCCATTCATTTATTCTTCATATCATCATTCATATTATTCTTGGTTGACAAGCCTACAGAAAAAACGGCTATGAAATATTTTATTCAAACCTAAGCAAGTCATAGGATTATTTTTATTTTGATTCTTGCAAAATATTTTATGTTTTTTCATTGCTACTGGCCAAGTTTCTCTTTGAAGCCATTCAAGCACTGAAGCTTACATCAAAAATGGCTTGGTATATTGCACCAAAATGTATGTACAGCTACTAAACAAACTCCTGCAAAGGTTGTAGGGCTATTTTTAAGTTGATTCTTGAAAGTCGAGGTTTCTTCCATCTAAATTTTTCTAAGTTCTTCTTCACTATCAACATAAGATTTTCGAAGCCATTCAAGCATTGTAGAAATGTAGAAGCCATTTAAGCAACATTATACTAGTCAACAATGCTCCATTATATACCAGTCAGAAACGCTTTGTTTCATTAGAGTAAACAATGTGTATATTTATTAGTCTTCAGCTTCATTATTATTGATCATAGTTATTCAAGTCGCCACAGAAAAAAATAGCTATGGATATTTTACTGAAACCTGAACAATAGTAACGAATACAGTAATGAGAATGTCATAGGGTAGTTTTAAAATTAGTTCAGGTACTTTAATTTTTTCTTCCTGAAGAATTTATCTAAGTCCTTCACTTTCTGCCATTCTGGTGTTTTACTACAGTGCATTAATTGGAAAGTAATTTGTGTAACTTATAGTGCATTAATTAGAAACTGCCACATTTAGGATTTATCATTTCTCGAGTTTGCTGTTGTACTTTGTCTCTACGTGGTTTTCTGAGACTATTTCAATGAGTTCTTTGCTCTTGTGAGTAACAATTTATTCTACTGATTTTTGTACTTTGCTGAAATTGTGAATGCGTATTTTATTATTATTATTATTCATATTTTTGTTTTGCAAGCCAACAGAAAGATTGGCTGGGTATTTTGCATCAAACCCTAGACACATATACTATATGAAATAATGGCTGGAGACGGCTTGAATGGGTAATGAAGAAAAACTTTAATATAACAGCAAATGTACAATGTTTCGACAAGGTTCTGTCATCATCAGGGGGGGTCACGTGACGCTAGTAACACGTCATATTCTCGAAGGTTCGTGAATCCTCGAGTGTTTACTAGATTTGCGGTATTCTTGTATATATATAAGACCGCCAAGAAGTGACGGCAACAATGTAATTGAACTGCAGACAGAGAGAGGCTGACGATTGAGTCGAGCACATGAGTCATTCATTGTGAATCATAGCGTGACTGTGGAAATTAATTGCAAAGTTGTATTCAGAAAAAATAAACCAGTTTTATTTAAGAAAGGACTTGTGTCGCTTAAGTTTCATCGGAAAGAAATTATACGGGAAATTAACTAACGACCAGAGACGTAACAGTATTATACATTCCATTACAAGTCACCTACATGTACAGCTCAAGAACTTTGATGTCTCATTGTTTCATGTTTTGTTACTATCTCAAGAGTCACATTTTTGGGAATAATCAAATACTGCATTACAATTATGGTTTTTTACAAAATGATTTTTTTTTAAATTGTTAAGAATCATTTATACTTAATATTTTAAAACGTTTGCACTTGGAAAATAGGTTTCTATATGGACAATCTTTCTAGTTCCTACACTACATACAACTCTTATTCTGAACAATATAATTTTCAGAGTATAATCAGAACATACGTTTCCACAACTTCAATACATAGGTTGAAGAACAAATGATAAATACAATAACAAAGTTTTAGTTTTCTTCAGATCCAGTCTGAACTATTATAAGTGTCTGCACAGCTCTACACTTCTAAACAGATTAAAAGATCTTCCAATATTAACACATAAATCTCAGCTGTCTGAGTTTACTCTTTACAAGTATACAATGTATGCTTTATCAACATTTATTTTTTTCAGTTTGCACTCTTAACTACTGTAGTTTATTTCATGAGCACCAGATGACACTGGAAAGATGCTAATATTTTTTTTTCTGGAACTTTTACTGCCTCCACTGAATGGGAAGGACTTTCAAGTTTCTTCACTATGAGGGTTTTGGTTAAGCACATGAAATGTGAAATAGATTTAAAAAAAAAAATTCTGAGCTTTGATCAGTTGATTGACTTTCCCTAGGTTGAAACTTTCTGCTCAGGACTTCAGGTGAGGACTTGGATTCAACTTTTGTGTTGTCCTTTGTTTGATCTCTTTCTAGAAAACATTTGTTAAATTTTTACTCCAATTAAAATCAGGATCAACAGTCACAGTATATTCAGCTTGAGTCCAGTCACTGGCTGAACAAGAAGTATGTGACATATAACCTTTCTGTTGGCTGTCCTGGTTTGATACAGCAAATCTTTCTGCTATGGTAAGCTCTGGACTATCACAAATATGAATATTCAATCGATAATGTGGTCTTCCTTCTCTCCCATGACAAACCCTTCAAAGAGTAAAACAGGAGACTTAGTGGGCAGATCCTTCACACCAAAAGATGAGTTTGTTCTGGTAAATCTAGTGAACTATTTCTTGTAGATTTATCTTCTTTCTCTTGAATAGACTTAACATCCAGTGAAAAATTTAAAAAGTCATCATTTAGGACTGTTAACATAATCCTCATTCCTTGAGCCTTTAAAAAAAGTTCTTAAGCACTGCAAGGTTTTTATAATCTGTCTTCCACTGATTCCCCTACACTGCAAGAATGAACTAGCTTACACTGTCGAAACTAAGTCATCATTTAGGACTGTTAACATAATCCTCATCCACTGAACCTTTAAAAAATAGTTCTTAACCACTGTAAGGTTTTTATAATCTGTCTTCCATTGATTCCCCTACACTGCAAGAATGAACCAGCTTAGGCTGTTGAAACTCACCAGATAATGGTAGCTGTATTTTACGTAGCGTGGATGGACTGAGGCTTAATCTGCGTCGGCTGTTCAAGGAAAGCAGAGAACTGATTCCAGAACTGGATACCGAACTTGATGACAGTGTTGCTAGTGATGCTGGTAAGAATGTATCTGGCCCTGTTATCTCTTTTTTAGGTTTGGGGCTGGAACTGGAGCCTGACAGAGAATCACTACTACTGCTAGCTTGATGTCCTTTACTACCATCCTGACTGAGTTGACCTTTATCTTCCATAATACTACAAGACAGATCATTGAATTAGTATGGCTGAAACATCATGATATTAATAATCTTTAATTTTTTTTCAATAATTACAATCTACTATCAACAAATAATATACACGTAGGAACAGCAACTTTGTGTAATTATAAACACTATAAGGGTGTGTGTGTGTGCAAATTAAGTCCCTCTTGGACCAAAAATAAATATCAGTTGCATGAGTTGTCAGGTTAACAGCAAAACCAGTATCCACAGGACAATCAAACATACTGAATGACTAGGCTTCAGTACAAGTACCATATCATTCTATTCAACACAGTACTGACCAGGAAAACTATATACTGTAAAATAATGTTCAGACCAGACAAAATCTCTCATATTTTGATTTGTGCTGAAGCAATTAAATACTCTTCAGAAGGTTTTGGCTGTACGATACAGTGCTTAAACTGAAGGGTTCAAATGACAGTATGTTTACCTTATGTTAAATAACAAAGAGGGAAATACTTATTGAAACGTGATTAACATACATATGATTCTGACATACACATAAACTAAAATTAAGTAATGAATATATAGTTATTATTTTTAAAACTTGAATGACTATATATTTGAACATAAATTTCATCATCGAGTTTTTGTCATAACATGCAGTTTTAAGTGTATAATAATACACACAAATACACATTTATGGAAACCTAAAAACGATGCATCATATTAACAAATGACACCCCCCAAGAAGAAAATCCTGACAACACTCATGACATTAAAAACATGTTAGATTGAACTAGACTAAACTTTCAAATTTTTGTTTCGTGAAATTTACTACCCTAAATGAATGATTCTGTATGAGATGTGTTACACCTGAATATGACTTTAAAGTGAAACTAAGTTCTTTCGTTTCAAATATGAGTTAATTTAAATTAAAAAATCAGCTATATTTAATGTTTATAAGTCCAAGAAAATTCTTACTTTAGTCTTAGAAAAATACATTTGTCTGGGATGAGCCCTTCTCTTCCATTCAAGCTCCCTCTCCACCATTTGTTACAGACTTGAGAGTAAAGTTGCAAAGTGTCACCTTTATTGAAAGAGAGTTCATGCTCAGTCTGGCCACAGAAAGAAGTCTGTGCCACACCTTCAAACACTTCATGTTCTACAAGAAAAGATGAGATTTCAGTTCTTTAAAAATTATTGAAAAATACCAACTGTTTAATGCTTCAATACTAATTAAAGTTACAGAAATTTAAAGCTTAAAATTTCAAACTCACAATCATTTCATACTCTACTCTGAAATGCAATACAAGAAAACCAAGAACACTTAAAGAAGTTGAATGAACCCTCCACAAAAAACAAAGTGATCGAGTCATTTTCATAAAATGATATTTAAAGACCATATTTTATATAACTCTAACCTTTATCAAATTAATTACTGCATATACTCTTCCACTTATTCAAACACATTTTCCCATGATTAAGAAAGTATAATTAGACACTTGAGGTAAAAGTTCCTTCAAGAAAGAAACCTACACATAAGTTATTTTTATCGTAACAAAATTCCACAAAAAATGATTAAACCAAAGTTCAAATTAAACTTCTTACATTCTTCACTATCGAAAAATAAGAAAGATTTTGTTTTAATAAAATGTTATTTATATTAAAACTTTAATGTTAAATACAAACAAATTACTTTGCTGTGAAGATGTTCAAATGATAACAAATTTTGCATAGATATTAGTGTCAAACTTAAAAGACACAGAAATGTTTAAAAATGTTGTTGGAAGGAGAAATAAGTAGTCAATGTTTTGTTTGTTTGTTTGGTTATTTGGTGTTTTATGGCGCAAAGCAACGAGGCTATCTGCACCAAACAACATGTAAAAACAGTGAAAGTAAATTAGAATAAAATGTAAAAATACAGCAAAATATGTCCAAAATTTGAATAAAAGATTTATATACAATTAAAAAAGCCAATAGTGCGTTTAAAATTAAAAATACAATCAAGTCGGACAGAGTCATTATCGCCAATGACGCTCTCCAATGGTAGGGGTAAACTCTTACAAAACACGTGTCTAAAATGTTGTCACCGCTCACAGCCAAAATGTGGGCTAATGTGACTTGAGTGTCACAATGGCTACAGATCGGTGCGTCAATACCTGAAAAAAGAAAACAATGACAGCCAAAGACCAACAAAAGGTTTGATCTGAAAAAGCTTTTTATGACGTTGCTCGCCCTAAGTCGACTGCCAACTGGCACAAAGCCACACCTTGAAGACAGGACCATAGTCCATGTATGGGACAGGCATGGCCGTGACAGCACCAGAGCAGACGGACTTAGCTGCGGTCAGCAAGCTCATTCCCGTGAATACCAACGTGGCCAGGTATCCAGAAAATCTGGATGGAAACAGAAAATAGAGAAAAATGGGCCAGTTGTTGTTGAATATTGAGGAGAACAGGGTGAGAACTAACGTTAAGCAATTCCAGGGCCAGTAGAGAGCTAAGACAATCAGTGTAAATTGTACAATCACTGTACTGCATAGCTTCTACATGATCCAGGGCAAGAGAAATAGCATACAACTCGGCAGTGAACACAGAAACTGTTGAAGGGATCCTGCGAGCAACTACCGAGCCACAGCAAACCATGGCAGAGCCTACAGAGTCACCTGATTTCGAACCATCTGTGTAACTAGGAAGAGAAGAATGGCTCGAAAGATGTTTAGCAAAAAGAAGACAGTACTTCCAATCAGGAGTATCTTACTTCCTCAGATGACTCAGGGAAAGGTCACAGAAAGGGATGGTAATAAGCCATGGTGAAATAAATGGGCTGAACATTGGTGACAGTAATGTCATCCAATGCCAGACCCAAGTGAGCCAGTTGTGCCTGGATATGAAGGCCAAAGGGAGGAATTGCAGACGGTCTGTTCTGAAAGAGCATGGCCCACTGAGGAAGAAAGACAATCCCAGGTGGGATGCCTTGGTAAGGATTGAAACTTGGTAGCATATTGTAAAGAAAGTTGCAAACGATAGAGGTAAAGAGGAGGTTCGTACAAACTATGGACAGGAGAAGTTCGAAAAGCCCTGGTGCAGAGCCAAAGCCCCAGATGGTGAATGGGGTCCAGCATCTTCAAGGCCAAGGTTCTGGCAGAACCATAGACCCATAGTCCAGTTTGGATCGAATCAGAGCACGATAGATACTGAGCATAGAACTGGAAGAGAGGACGTGGAGGACGTACAGAGCCCTTGCACACTTGACATGTAGCTGCTTGATGTGCGGAATGAAGCTAAGCTTACAGTCAAAGCCCAAGAATTCTGCCTCAGGAACCACACGATTAACTATAATGCCGAGATGGAACTCAGGATGGAGACCCCATTGGCGGCAAAAATGCATGCAAACAGTTTTGGAAAAAGAAAATGTAAAACCGTTTGCAGTGGTCCACGTCAACAACCGATTGAGGGCAGTCCAAAGCTGCCACTCAATAAACCTCATGTTTGACGACTGACACGAGATGTGGAAGTCATCGACATAGAGCCCATTTGCAACAGTCAGAGGAAGATTAGTAGTGATAGCATTAATTCTAACACTAAAATGTGTGACACTCAAGACACAGCCCTGAGGGATTCCAAGTTCCTGTGGAAAGGAATGGGAAAGAGTTGAACACACACAGACTTGGAATCGCCTGTTCAGTAAAAAGTTTTGTATAAAAATGGGTAAATGGCCACGCAACCCATAGGAGTGGAGGTCCTGCAAAATGCCATACCTCTACGTAGTGTCATAAACCTTCTCGAGATCAAAGAACACAGAAACAAGGTGTTCTCTGTTGAGGAAGGCTTCCCTGATCAATGTTTCAAGTCGAATTAGATGATCCATGGTGGAGCGCTTTTGATGGAACCTACACTGGGTAGGCGAGAGGAGGATGTTCGATTCGAGGAACCAAACATTAACCATCCTCTCTAAAACCTTACAAAGACAACTAGTCAAAGCGATGGGATGATAATTAGAAGGAATCTTGGGATCCTTACCAAGTTTAGGGAAAGGGATGACAATAGCCTGGCACCAAGCATCAGGAAAAACATGCTCCTGCCACATCCAGTTAAAAATAACCAGAAGAATAGCAAGAGAGGCAGGAGAGAGATGGTGCAGCATCTCATAATGAACATGACCAGGTCCGACTGATGTACTACCAGACCGATAAAGAGCAATTTTCAGTTCCACCAGTGTAAAGGAGGATTATAGTCATAGAGACAAATGGCCCAAAAGGAAAGAGGTGATTGCTCAGCCCAAGATTTGATGGCCAAGAAGGCAGGGGGAGAAACAGAAGTGATAGAAGCACGAGAAAAGCTGTGGCCGAGAGCATCAGCAACTTCCTGCCCATTGGAGAGAAAGTAGGAAAGGGGATGGGAAGCACACCTCCCAGTGACTTTCCGAATCTTGTCCCATACAGTTTTGGAACTGGTGGTAGAAGAGATGCTAGTAGTGAACTTAATCCAAGACTCCTTTTGGCTTTGACGTCGAACCTGCCAAGCATGGGCACGGGCCCACTGATAAACAATGTGGTTAGAAAGAGAGGGATATCATTGGAAGGTATCCCAGGCCCATTTTTGAGCCTTCCGTGCCTCCTGGCAGGCAGGATTCTACCATAGATGAGGATACCGTGGAAACGTGTCGAGGTCTTAGGAATAGAATGAGCAGCTGCCTGGATGATACAGTCAGTCACTGCAACCACACAGTGGTCTATTGATGGCAGATAGACAAAGGCAGGATCAAGTTCAGAGAGAGGTGAAAGATGGCTAGTAAGCCTGTTCCAGCTTCCACCGTGGCACTCGGGTCAGGTGGCATCAACCATGGCCAACCTCCCTTATAATGATAGGAAAATGATCACTGCCTCATGGGTCACTGTCGACCATCCAAGAAAAGCTAGTGAAAAGTGAAGGGGAGCAAATCGAAAGATCAATGGCAGTAAAAGACTGACTAAGTGCATGAAAATAAGTATATGTTCCAGTATTGAAGAGAGAAAGGTTGTGATCCGAGAGCATACATTCTATGGAACGACCTTTTCCATCAATATCAGCACCACACTAGAGGGGGTTGTGTTCATTAAAGTCTCCCAGAAGTAAAAAGGGAAATGGCAACTGGTCAACGAGAACATCAAGGTCTGATTGATCAGGTAGAGAGAACAAACAGTGATGGTACAACCCAAGGAAACACGGATGGCTATGGCCTGCAAGGGTGTATTGAGGGACACAGATAAGGAGGGCACATGCTGGTCGACCAGTAGTGCCACTCCTCCATGCACCCGTCCATCACACAACCTGTCATTCTGGTATAAAGAAAACAGCCAAAAGGTGACTGCATCGGCAGGTTTTAGAAATGTTTCCTGTAAGGAGAGACACACGGGAAGATAGGAGTCGATCAAGGCCTTAATGTCAATGAGATTAGAATGAAAACCTCGACAGTTCCACCGTATCA